CGCTTGATACACGGATTGATCCGGTGCATCTCATCCTAATGGCTAATGTGCATCCAAGAGTGGAGAACTCTTCTTACGTTTCTCACTTTAACTCTCATTCTCACCAGAACCCAACCCTATATATAAGCGAAAGATCGTGTGAGAAAGGAAGTTATGGTGAGAAATGTGAGAAGAGATCTGAACGCTTGATAACTATCAATCTCATGTCCACCAATGAATTACGTTTTATAACGGGTTTATCATGTGAGAAGGAAAATTATCATGTGAGATTTATGTCATAAATTCGTTAAATATCGCGTGCGCGTGCGCGTGTGTGTGTATATATATATACATATATATATACACCGTCCCTGTGATTGTTGACAACGAACCCCTGCAATTGCTTTAACTCATCATCTGTATCCCACCAAATTTTAAATTAAATATCAATATAAATAATTATATATCTCTTTGCCAAATATATATCAAGCCAATTTATTTTATTAAAATAATTTTAAATATAGTTTTTCTAAAATTAAAAAAGAAAACAAAATGTATGCATTAATCACAACTTTATAAGCACATTTTATAATAAATGACAATTAAGAGAAAAGAAAAAACCGCGTATCAAATTTTAAACAGAAGAATTCAAACATTATTGAAACAACTTAAAAATTCAATAACTTCAACAACTAAAAAACAATATCATGTCGTCTTTTTCTCTTGTGGCTTTAACGTCGGTAACATAAGTTCAAAATCTTGTTCCGTAATAACATTAAAACTTACCATAAAGGTAATTGTTCGAGCGGTACCCATCTCAGCCACCCACGAGGTCACAGGTTCAAACCTCTTCACGAGGGTGAAGCGTATTTATGTATTTGTTATATATAATATATATTCTTCAAATTATTTCCTTTGACAATAACGAAAGGGATTCGGGAGGGGAGACAATGACAAACAAGATGAGAAGAAACCCTCGTGTGTTGAGGTACAACGAGAGACGAGACAGATGGAACCGTTTGATGCTTTTTGAAGGCAGACGAGGCTCTAGAGAGGTCTGAAAAATTAGACGAAAAAGAAACGGTAGATTTGGAAACTTAGTAACCGGGGAAGCCCGTCCCTCTCGAACATATAAGTGTCTTTTATCTGATAAGAGACAGTTAAAATTTAGTAAACGATTATCTGGTATATATATATATATATATATATATATTTACAAAATAAAATAAAATAAAAAGAATTAAAATTAAAATTAAAATGTTGGACGCGGTATCCAAGGTGACGTCGGTCGATGGAAGAAGGGGTGAACCATTTTTGTGTCGGCCATAGACATCAATTGACAACTCAATAAGTCACACTACCCTCACACTTGTACCTCTATGCAATTGGGTTGTACCTTTTCCTATATAAAAACAAAATAATTAAACAAACAAATTCGTACATTTTCCATTTCACCGATTAATATCGACAAAAATCGTAAACCATGGAATCCAAAAGAAACGATACTGATTTGAAATATGGCGTATGGAAATCAGGAAACAAGAAAGTGTTTGTTTAGAGTACCTGAAGATTGATCGGTTTGATCTGTGTTCGTCTGTTATCAAAATTACTGTATTATTATGACAAAAACAGTGGGAAGAGACTACCATTACATCATGTTGAAATGTACCCTTACGCTACAGTCATAAATTGTTATGCATAAAACATGTGATCATGAGCCAACTACACATCAATGAAGCATTATTATGTCGAGCTAAGACTGAAGATGTGTTTGAGCTCGATTTTACTGTAATGTCAAAGTAATTCACTAAATACTGTAGAAGATCATTGGCATGACGGACATACAAAGGGTATTCGTGATCTAATTGCTAACGATAAATCTTTTGAGTTTTGTGATGACTCCAAAAGACAGTACCATTTTGCTCCTTATTAGACTTCTACAGTTACTGATTGACTTGAGTTTTTTATGTTCACCACAATAAAATATGTAAAAGTAATATTTTAGTGATCGAGCATATGACTTATGATGTAACAAATGTGTTAAGAGGCGTAGCATCAACATCGGTGTTCATCGGTTCATATATAATGGATTTGGATGAATTGATTCCATCCAGATCCAGTAGATGTTGAATTTTGACATCAAATCAAATCTAATTAACATTGAACAACTGATCAAATCTTGGGTTATATACATCGGGTATCATTATTGATCATTTGTTGGATAGATCAAACCTCATTCAATATTTTGAACTCGTTATCTAACCATTTCGCCTGCAACGTTTAACTCAGTTGGTAAGGAGACAGGTCGACTCTGACCAAATAAAATTTCCATCCTTTATACGTAGATGATAATTGAATTGGATCTATTCAATTTTATGAGATTTTAAACTGATATTCAACTACTGATCCATTCAACTCAGATATTTAGATCAAAATTTTAACCAATCAATTACACGACACCCGTCGGTTATAATTGGCCCGGCATAACTTTATGCATGCCCATATGTATTAGATTTTCTTTTGACTTTTCAATAAAAAAATATGATTATTTTTTTTATGTAATAGAATAAATAAAAATCAAACAAGTAGACATAAAAGTACAAGGCAGAAACAACAAAATGGACTATTAAACTTTATAGAAAGAGAATTCTAAAAAGAATTAAAGCCAAAAATAAAAAAAAAATACAAAAATCCAAATGCTTATTATCTGGATAAGTGTTTATTAAGTCATTTACCTTATAGAATGAGTATGATACGGATCAAGAATTTTACCCGGTAAGAACGAAGACAACTTAAGTAATGACTGAAAGTCTTATCTGGTAAGTGAGGGTGATAACGCTTACCGGGTAAATTGTTGCATTTTTGTAGACTAAAATTTTACTTGGTAAGTAAGTGATAATATTAAATTTTGTGGAAAACACTTATTCAGATAAGCGATTGGTAAAGGGTACCTTAAAATTACTTATGATAAGAAAATATATAAAAGATGGAAATCTCATAATTATATATGTTTTGAGGTATAATGTTGCAATTAAAAAATGTTGAGGGGCTAATTCTGCCAAGTGTATAAAGTACATTGTATTAAAAGTTTAAATCAGAAAAGGTATATAGGAAAAAATGGTCCTATTCTTTCAAAAAGAAAGGTAAATGGTACTAGAGTGATTAAGGAGTGGTTTATCAGATGTTTATTCGGTTAAGTGTATTAAATTATATTATCTAACTAGATAAATATGGGAAGAACTAAGAATCTTGTTAGGTAAGAGTGAATGCTAGGACCGAGATTCTTACTCGTTAAGTGAGAGTGATAACTCTTACTACAGTTAGCACTTACTAGATACATTGTTGCATATGATATTGTTTTAGTAGACAAAAGTTTTACCCATAAGTGAGTGATAGTGTTGAATTTTGCCAGTAAGCACTTACTTGGGTAAGCGTTTGAGAAACGGCTCCTAATCATTTACTAAACGTTTATCCGATAAGTGCTTACCGGGTTAATCACCTTACCGGATACACATGGTAAATCGAAAATTTTACCCAATAAGAGCGGTGGCAGGGACAAATAGTCTTACCTGGTAAGTGAGGGTGATGAAATATTATCCGATTAGCGATCGGATAAATTGTTGCATATGAAGGACTAGAATCTTCCCCGATAAGGTAAATGAGAGTGTTAACTCTTACTGGTAAACGCTTTATCAGGTAAGAGTTTTGAGTAAACAACCCCTAAATCTTCCAAGAATGCAAAGGTGAAGGTTAGATATAGAGCATCACCATGCTACCACCAAGCGTACACGGCTAGCGGTGATGACGTGGTCGTTTGCTAGAATAAATGTCAAACTGAGTTTGATTTCAAATTGATGTCATTAGATAAAGAAACTAGTAAAATAACAAGGGTTTAGCGAGCAAATCAAGGGTTTAGCTTTAGGTTGAGTATACCGAGACTTGAGTTAACAAATTCGAGCTGATTTTTTGTTCATTCCCAATGCTATGAACTGATTATACAACCACTGGTATACTCAATCAACATAGATAAACCTTGAGCTATCGTCAACCACCACTATCAACCAGTAGTATGTCCCAATGATGTCTCAATAGCTTGGTTCACGGTTATCGTGATTCTTGTATGATTTTACCATTTCTTATTTTCGCGTATATAGAATCATGTCATATATAATATTTTTCAATTAAATTCCATTTTTAGAAGTATGAGAATGAACATTATCATATATTCATATCTTCTTGACGTTTATAGCCATCAATTATCTTTAAATGCTTATATTACAAATCATTTGTGCTTACGTTGCCCAAATTAGTAAAACCGACACTTTGATCATCTACCTGAATCCAACCTAAGCAATAAGAATACATGATGGATCATATCAACTTCTAATGAACTAGACAATTGTTCATATGCATCATTCAAATAAAGATTCATATAAGCTACTTCAGACAAAAGTAACAAGTACACATGTAATTTTTATCTTTTATTCGAACTTTTGGATAACTATATAAACAAAGTAAAGTGAAGAGTGGTCATAGATACAAGGGGTATGTTTACAATATTGTATGATATATAAGAGATATGTTTGGGGTGTTACGTGTGCTTTTTAGCCATGTATTTTTGTGTTAGCGTGCTCTAGTGTCCTTCTTGGTCACCATGTCTCCTCATTTCGTTATTGTGGTCTTACTCATGCCTTCAAAAAAGATTGATCAATTACGTATTAATCAATATTCGATTGATTGGTCTGAGGTTATATTCAGAAAGGCATTTCGGGAATCGATTTGATTCCATCTCTCGATGTTCTTACCGATCCTTACTAAAACTTCATTGAAAAAAACATAAAAAATAATAATAACCAAATTAATAACGTAGTTTGCAAAACTAAGTTCTTCCAATAAAGAAAATCACAAACAAGGGGCTTTTAGAAACTATGATCCAAGCCATAGAAAAGGTCTACAGACGTACATCTTATACTCTGGAATAAATTAATAGTTTTAAAAATATTTTTATTGAGTTTCTTTACTTATAACAAGTCACTTCTTTCCAAAAGAAAATGACAACTTCTTCACCAATTAAAGTTGTTGAACGATTACAATGATTCTTCAAACAATATTCCTAAATGAAATGCTTCCCACCAACCAAAAACAAACACAAAGAATTGTAACACAACATTTACTCAAAACAATCAAAAAACTTATAATACTTCTTCCTACACATATGTTTACCTCTCTTCCCATTGCAGCATTGAGATCAACCCTGTTTATTCTCCCAAAAGAATCCATCCATACATCCATCCAGCCCTTTTACTAACCTCAAGCTTTCGGCTTCAGAATCTTCGGTGTCTCCCAGGTGAAATCGGGGTCTTCACGGCCAAAATGCCCGTAAGCAGCAGTTTTCTGATACCTGAAATTGCCACCCCTTTTCAGGTCAAGATTGATAGCCATCATCCCTGGCCTGAAGTCAAAGTTTTCCTTGATCAGAACAAGGATATCCTTATCTGGGATGGTTCCAGTCTTGTATGTGTCCACAAACACGGATAGTGGTTCAGCCACACCAATAGCATAAGAAACTTGAACGATACACCTGCGTGCAAGTTGGGAAGCTACGATACTCTTAGCTGCTTGCCTAACAATGTAAGCACCACTCCTGTCCACTTTGGTAGGATCTTTCCCAGAGAAAGCACCTCCACCGTGAGCTCCCCATCCACCATAGGTATCGATGATGATCTTTCTGCCGGTCAGACCTGCATCTCCATGAGGACCACCAATCACGAACCGGCCAGATGGGTTCAGGTGGAAGATGGTATTCTCATCAAGATACTGAGCTGGGATAACCGGTTTAATCACATGCTCCTTAAGATCGGCAGCAATCTCATCGTTCGTCACAGACTCATCATGTTGGGTGGAGATGAGAACTGTGTGAACCCTAGTGGGAACCATGGCACCGTTGTCATTGTGATATTCCACAGTCACTTGTGTCTTACCATCGGGTCTGAGCCATCCGCAGGTCTTGTTCTTCCTGACTTCAGTGAGCTTGGCACCGAGCTTAGTTGCAAGGACATGGGTAAGGGGCATAAGCTCTGGTGTTTCATCAGTWGCATAACCAAACATGTGKCCYTGRTCWCCWGCACCRATTTCYTCKGGCTTCTTGGTGAGGTGWCCATGAACACCCTGRGCAATGTCWGGGCTYTGTTGCTCRATRTTGACYARGACCTTGCAGTKGTCRGCATCAAGACCAACRTCAGSAGATRTRAAYCCRATYTCTCTGCAAGTATCACGGACTATCTTCTCGTAGTTTACAATAGCCTTAGTGGTGATCTCTCCAAAGACCATGACCATATTAGTCTTTGTGCATGTCTCACATGCAACTTTGCTCTCTGGATCTTGTTCCAGGCAAGCATCAAGGATGGCATCGGAGACTTGGTCACAAAGCTTGTCTGGGTGTCCCTCGTTGACGGACTCAGATGTGAATAGGAAGGTCTCCATCTCTCAACTGGAACAAGCAAAAGGTCTTAGTACTACACTCACATTACATGCCCAGAAACAAATAAAACCAAACCAAACCAAATCACAAGAACCCGGTAATACACATCTAGAAGCTTGTCATAGCAATTCAGTTAGCATCTTACTAGATCTTATGAGTTCCTAAATGGTCCAAAATTGCAACTTAGGTGTGATGAGTGGATATGCATGAGTTTAGTTTTGTTTCATCATGGTAAGCCATTTAAAAGGTCTTCTACTGTTTTACAGCAGTAGTAAATCATAGCATATATGTGACCATGACAGCATCTGATCACTGATGCTGCAGATCTCACCTTATATGTATTTAGGAAAACCATTGAACCATACTCATTACATAATTTCGTGTCATCAGTTGGTCAGTGAAATCGATAAATGAAGAAAGTCTACATAATACTATTGTAATCTAAATACTTATCAATTTAGATGTTCTCCTATGGTGATCTTTCATCCAACTAGTACTAATTGAGCATCTTGAATCTGTGGTTATGGGTTTGACAAACACTACTACAAGAATGAGTGCATTAATTTTTATCATTTAAAAAGAAATAGATTTTTCTACTATTCACATGGATCTATCAGGAAAAAAAGAACCAGTTAACTCAAAAAACATTTATAATTCACTTAAAATATCAAATCTATGAAAGAGTCTACTTGACCATGAAAGTCAACATGACCTTACTTGAAAGTTGAAAGGCATAATGTCGATTGTCTGCAAATCAATACACATATGAATACTACATATAAGATTACTTAGATCAAGGAGCGTGACGAGATCTAACCTAAATAAAACGAATTCAACATTATTATACTAAAAAACTAATCAAAAACGATTCAGACGATGCATCAAAAGAAGAAGAAATCTTCGAAACGTCCAGATCCTCTCCCAACAAACAATAAAATAGATCAACAGTCAGGCATTTGCAGAGCATCAATAAAGTGGTAAAGTGATTCACGATAAACTGTGAATCAAATCTAACAAAATAATCACAAAATCAAACAGCAACTTAAGAGTAAGATCTAAACCTAGAATCGCACATACAAGTAGAAGAATGTAGTAAAAATGCAATCGAATTGAAAGATAAGGAGTAGCATCGAACGTACCTGGAGTAGATTGGGGTAAAAAAAAAGGGTTGGATTTAAGAGATTTGGGGAAGGAGGAGAGAGATGGTGAGTGAGGGTAAGAAGGAAGCGGAATTTATAGGTGTGGATGGAGGATGCGCAAGTGACTCCGCCGACAAGATTTGTACAGCCGGGGAGCCACTTGATGTGGACCCACCGCCAACCCAACCCCTTGTGGTCCCACTTTCCTTCCCACCGACGAAAATAACTTCAATAATTACTTTTTCTAATATATTTTAATTTATAGAAATCATCTAATTTACCATTAAAAAATATTATAAATTATATAGAAAGAGTTTGTTTCAAATGTAATCATCATATTTATATAACTAATGTAATCTAATAAATTAAAATATTTATGAAAATAATAAAGGTTCATTTATTATAATTTAAATATTTATGAAAGATGAGTAAGTTTTATTAACTATGATCAATACCTTATATTAGGAAACAATCAAAATTTCTATAAAATTACATATTCATTAAATTAAATAAACGGTTGAGATTGAGTTGTATAAATGTAAGAGGTTGTATAATAACTCATCTCTCTCTCTCTCTCTCTCTCTCTCTCTCTCTCTCTCTCTCTCTCTCTATATATATATATATATATATATATATAAAGAGAGAGAGAGAAAGAGATATCTCAACTAACAAAGGTGAGTGATGGTATATGTAGTCTACATGTTTAAAAACATGCCTATTTTATTTGCATCACTAAGAGCATCTCCAATCAACCGGTAATTTTAGGGATTTGCCGTTTGTGACCTTTCCAATCGACCGGCAAATGAATTTAGGTTTTGCCGGATCCCTTATTTGAACGGCAAATATGCCGTGGGTTTCTTGAACGGCAAAACCAGGTGGGACTCATTAATTTGTATTAAAAACCATTTTTCATTTAATAATTTAGGAATAAATAACATAAATGTTTTTTTTTTTGTTTTTATATATATTATATAAATTATATATATATATATATATATAAATTAAATTTTTTATAAGAGAAAGAAAATTCAACATTAACATAAAAATAACAAAATACAAATTTATAACATAATTTAACATACATGATACCGAATAAACGTAAATGTAGTTTCATAACGGAAATTTTAAAAACCAAAAGACATAAATTAAAAGGTCCACTGATCTTCATTAAATAAATTAATTAAAAATAGTAAATAAAATATGTTATTTTAATGTGCGGTCCATAAATTTAGTGTTTTTTAGAGTATGATTGGAATTGAGTTTTTTTTAGTGATTATGGGCCCACCATATTTGGTGTTTTTGGTGTTTTTTTTGTTGATGAGGTTGGAGTTGCTCTAAGTTATAGTTTACACATTTACATATAATTTCTTGGTTTATTTTTTAACATTAAGAGGATTTTTAATGAATTATTTAAAATCAAAAATCAAATTATAAGAAATTATATTTAGCTTTTACAGTTTACTATTTAAAAATTACAACATTGATTAAATTATTTAAATATTTTACGAATATTTAACTTAATAAGATGTTATTTTTCTCTCGAATATGTAATTTTAAAAAAATTATTTATACGAATACTTTAAATAATATATTGATCTCTCATTGTAATTGTATTCCAGGAATTCTTTAAATTTGAAGCATTTTTCTCTTAATTTTAAAAAATCTGTTAAAATAAAAAAAATCTTCATCTAAAAAATTTGTTGAAAGATGTTGTAAATGTAGATTTTTTTTTATTAACCTGGATATCCAACCCGTTATGCGAGCCGACTAATCTCAGGACGACCACTTGCTTTGCAGATAACCCGGAGTCCCCGTATTTGAACTTCCATGGTCACAAAGGGATTTTTATTCCTCTTTAGATTTGAACCTGAGATCTCCTAGTACTTTCGACCTTTGAAGTCAAGTTCAAACCAATCAGACACCACCCTTGTGGTTGTAAATGTAGATTTTTATCATTAATTGCTGTCAAAATCGTATAAATAGATCGGTTTTACATATGGACCAAAACACGACCGACAGATAGAATTCAACCAGATTTTATCTGTGGTTAAAAAGAGTTAATGGAGGGAGGTTTTAGGGGGCATATGAGTCAGTGTCAAGTGGGTGGGAATCAAATCCACATAGGATGCTTTTAAACCTTCTCAACTTGCTGACGTTGCCGCATGTGACCTTTTTCCAACTCTCTTAAGGTTTTTTATTTATCAGTTTTAAGGTTTTATTCAAACTCTTTTAATCCGTTAAAGACCGGTCTTAAGTTCAATTTAGAACCAAAACATAACCAGACCCTCAATGGCTGATGCTAGTGGGGAAGTCTGGGGTTCAACCTGTTCTTTTAATCTCTAAAATCTCTATTTAAGATGGTAGTTGTTAGGAGATGCTGATAATCATCAGGTAAATTTACATTCAGGTAAAGAAAACAGTGGCATCAACATCAAAACACAATCATAGCTGGAAAAAGGATCATTCACCAAACATCTAAGAAAAGAAATCCAACATATAAGACGAGACCATCCAAAATGGGACCATTGGAGCCGCTTCCCGGATCTCAAAAAGCATGGCGACGTCGGTGTTGGTTTCTTTCCTGTCAATGTGCCACAAACTCTTGTTGAACTGCCTCGTGCTCTTGTCGAAATGCCACTAGTTGTGCCTCAACCTCCTGTCGCAATGCCACTAGTTGTGCCTCAACCTCCTGTCGAAATGCCTCAACCTCCTGTCGGAGTTCTACAAACTCTTTTCGATGTGCCTTGAACTCCTCTAGATATGTCTCAAATTTACCTCTCCAACCGTCGTCCTCTTTATATTTATCCTTATATTGGACAAATGTATTTCAGTTAGTTTTTAACAGAGTTCAGGTTATGGTTGTAAATTCATACGCATTGTGATTCTAATCGGTGAGATTATATAAGCAAATGTAGAGGAATTGTCTGTAAACCCAAACCAGAAAATAGCAAGCAGGGAAAGAGAGATGTGATTCATGTGGTTTTTTTTCCTAAACAAGTCGAGATATATATTTTTACCTTCTGCTCAAGATAAGAACATCTAGCTTCGAGTGACCGCACTCTCTGCAAACGCAAAAATTTCTCTAATCAGGAAATGCAATACGGGAATTTCTTCATTTTCTCTTAGTATCAGGTTCAATGAAATTACCTTCTGCAACTCTTCATCAGCTACACAAAGCCGAGTTGCATAAAGCACTCTAACATCCTTCAATGTGCATAAGTTGTTGCACTGAGGGCACTGAGAACAATTTACAGAAATGTATGATGACAGAATGATAGAGAATTTTTTTTTTATAAATAATTCTGGTTTACAACTTAAAATGAACAAACCTTGCCAGAACTTCTACGTTGTTGAAGCCATTTCTTTATACAAGATGATCCATATATATGCCCACAAGGAAGACAACTGCAGTCATCACAAGAAACGAACAGGCAGTCAAAAGGGCAATCACATTCACTCAATATGAAGGTCTATGATTATGAAAGACTGCATACGATCAGCCAATTATATAAACGCATAATATATCCTCCATGGTTGTTGAGACAGACAGAGAGAAATAAAAGGAACTGGCAAGATGGGTAAACGAAAATAAGTTCATCTCAGAAAGCAATACTGCTGATTAAAAGTATCGTCCACCAAATTCATCACAGTATAGCGGGTCAAATTCCAGCCCGAACATTTTGGGTCTGAAGAACCCAAGCACCCCAACAATGTGAAGCTTCTACTGTAGAAAGTGGAGTCATTCACCAAACAATGAGAAATAAACGCACTTTCCATGCCTAGTTGCAAAACCAAAACTAGTTTGAGCAAACTTCGGAAGGTGAAACCCTGAGGGTCAACTCAACCCACAAATAAAAGCCAAGCCTTGAGGCTCCTCCCCATAGGTCACCGGTTCAAGTCTCCCACCGCCCACCGGGGATTTTCATGACTGTTATCTTTAGACCCCACAGGATTAGTAATGATGCACACAAGCTAGCCCAGACACCTACGGGTACCCCAAAAAGAAGTGTGGAAGGTGCAACTTACTTGGTCGTTTAAATTTTCAAACATCAAGACACCCCCATGTCCCACTGTCCCAAGCTAATGCTTAAGAAATTCTTTTACCTATTAATTAAGTAATAACCTTTCATGTGTTATATACCCACAAAAAAGGTGGGATTTTCTTGTCTAGAATGCCATCTTCATAGCTCACACTGTTCTTTCTCACAACCATGCATATGACCAATCTATATGCTTGAACATGGTATCATCACTGTATAAACCACTTAGACTGCTATGTAAATACTGAAGAAGAAAACAAAAAAGCCAATGCAAGTTGAAAGATTAATCAAAACTGCCATTAACCATCGTAGGTCATAGGAGAACCATCAAATTGCTTATGGGCACATTCATTCCTACAAAACACAAGCTAGAGAATTCCCATTACTTCTCCCATCAGTGGCACCATATTTCCAGACTTCTTCTATGACTCTACATCACATGGTCTTCGACTTGATAACCACTTCCTCCTTCCTGAATTACTAATATCTCAATTTGCACAACAGCATCAGCAAACACACTTGCTATCTCCCACCTTGACTCTATGGATAATTGCATTCCCAAGCCACAAGTATGAGCATTGCAAGCCTATATCTTTGCAGGATAGAAGGTATAAAATTAGAAAATTGATTCCTCTTCTAAGATTTTAGCCTCTGAATTTTCAACTCCTCATTTCTATACAAATGTGAGTTCACTATAGCATTACTAAATTTTACTCCCAGACTCCCAGTGGCAAAATTTTATTTAGTTGGCATATCAGAGTCCCAAGAACCGTCGACTAAAATCATGTAATGTTAAATGGCCTAATTCTTAAACATCTTGGTATCATTTAGTGCCAAAAAACATGGTATGAATGGCATAGTAAACAAGCACTGACATTATTAATTATGTTGACAATCATTCATAACAACGTGTTAGTTTCATCATACCAAATTTGATGGTCTCCACCGCTAGTCCAAGCTTCAAAGCAAATGGGGCAAAATAAGCCATCAATCTCACCTCTATTGAACTCTAGGTTTCCTCCATCACCACCATCGTTCTCTTGGTTCCCCAGGTTTCCTACAAATAACTCCGAATTATCCACCAAGCCATTGTTGATCGCCACCTCCCCTAGCAACGTTCTACCATGAGAAATTGAACTTGAAACCCTAGGTGATATCATCTCCATCGGAATCAACCCCTCCACTTCTTCCTCTTCGTAATACTCATCGTCCTCATCTCCGTCTTCATAATCCTCGTCGTCAATTGAGCCACCGGGCAACATCGTGGCCAACGGAATCAACTCCTCCCCTTCTTCTCCCTCCTCATAATCCTCTTCATCATCGTCGTCGTCGTCGTAGTCTTCTTCATCCTCTTCGTTTATGATTAAATTTATATCTCTAGGAAACACGATTCCTTCCGGAATTAACTCTTCCTCATATTCTCCCTCGTAATCTTCTTCTTCATCTTCGAATTCTTCTTCTATTTGAATCAGTCTGTAATCCTCCATTGTTCTTGTAATGAGTATTTCGACGATCGAATACAGGAAGAACAAGAAGAACAGAGGAATAAGATCAAGATTGACCACCATTAAAATTTAGGTTTTCGCCATTGGAGTTCCAAGCACATCTTTGAATCAGTACGGTGGAAGAGTGAGAGTTACCAAATTTAATTTATTTAATAAGATAATTAATTATCCACATACAAACTAAGAGGGTTAATCGTACGAATAAGAAATAACTCGATTTTAATGTTTTATTTTATTTTTTTTAGTTTTTATTGATGTTATAATGCGAATTTGTTTGGTTTTGGACAAACAATAATGTTTTTCTTAATAAAAAATATATTTAAAGATATCATAAAAATTAAAAAATATATAAAAATTCTTATTTTTCTATGTAATTTCTTTAATTCAATATTTTATTATAATTTAATTAAGTTTAAATAACCGAATTAATTTATTTTTGATTTAATAATATAATTTTTATGAATATAATAACTAATATTATATTATATTTCGATAATTATCCTAATTATATTTTAAATTTTATATTTAAAATAAAAATTTTATTATATATTTTATTATATTTATCTACAGTTAATTATGCGAATTCAAATGTGGAACTTAATAAGTTGTATTTACGCATAATTTACTTATAATCTTGAATTTTAAGTGATATGCATCAATACACAATACTTCATACATAAAAAATGATTTTTAAAAGTTTTTGTCTAATGCTTTATAATATAGTATAGATAATGATCGATTTTAAACGTATATCAACACATGTTTATAACAATTTTATAAATATATATATATATATATATATATATTGTTTGTGGTATGTTTTGGATGGTTTAACTCCCAAATCAGAGCGCTTCACGGGAGGTATTGCTCGCTAGACTCGTTAGAAAAGTGATCTTGGATAATCATTTGAAACAATGGACAGACTCGGGCTTGACCGCTAAAATTCATGGACTGGTTTGGACAATGTTCAGTCCATTATATTATTATATATATAATTAATATTTTACTGTTCTTTATTAAAAAGCTTTAGATGTGGCCTTTGGTAGATTCCCTCTAATTACGAGACCAACCATCACCAAAATATATATAAATCTCGATCTTGAAATACGTCTTATTTTATGCTCGAAAGAACTTATGTAATTTAAATAATTTTATATAAGTTTTATTTTTTAAATGTAAAAAAAAAGCTCATTAATCCATGGGCAAGCTCAGCCCTTTTATAAGAGAGGAACAAGCAAGTTCATAAGCCCATAAAAGCGGGGCTTGGGTTTGTTATTTTAGGCTTCTTGGACATAAAAATTATCTTAGGCCCAATCTAAGCCTCGCTGAAAACCGCAAATGATCACCTCTACCTCAAACCACAAACCAAGCTGCAATGGTAATTTAGAAAAATTTATAAACCTAACAGGTTGGCAACCACTGACCAAACCAGTTAAACCAGACCACAAAAAGTTTGTCTGGTCTAACCAGGAGCGTAAACTAGTCGGGTTTTAACGAGCTACTGGAGCTCGAGCTTAATAATTATCGAGCTCGAGTTGGTGTCGAACACAAAATAAAGATCACCTAACTTAACGAGTTGAGCTCTATAATACCAATGTTCGACTTGACTCATTAGAAAGCTTGATTAAACTTTACGAGTCGAGCCGAGCCAATATGAGCCATTCGAGCATACACTTTTTTAAGCCAAACATATTTATATGCTTACGACTTATCTATACTATATTATAAAGCATTTGGCTAAAACTCTTAAAAACTCTTAAAACTCTTAAACTCTTAAAAACTCTTAAACTCATTCATCCCTATCCGATTTCATCCCATATTTGAATTCGTGTAACTAACTGCAGATAAACACAATCAAATACAAGATAAACATCTCATTTTAAATATAAAAATCTAAAATATAAT